AAGCTGGAAGTGCAGTTATGGCTCAAGTGGGAGAGTGGTTACCTTGAGCAAAAAAACCTCAAGGATAAGGTCCAGGTCCTGAGTTCAAGCTCCAGAAGAGAGGAGGGGGGAAGGGGAGAGGGAGAGAGAGAGAGAGAGAGAGAGAGAGAGAGAGAGAGAGAGAGAGAGAGAGAGAGAGAGAGAAGGAAGGAGGGAGGGAGAGAGGGAGAGAGAGGGGGAGGGACAAGGAGGGAGAGGGAGAGAGAGAGAGAGAGGAGTCAGGGAGGACCCACTCTCAGGAGAGGGGACTCAGTTGGGCTAGGAAGGACCTAGACTGTGTTTTCAAAAGATGGGAGGAATGTTCTTTCTACTCCACACCGGGGTATCTCTTCCACCTTCTCAATAACCAAGGGCAGATGAGGAGATACTGGGGCTCATATGCCAGTGTTTCACCTGCCTTGTCTATCACAGATCCCCAGCTTAGGTCAGCCTCCGGTGTGACATTGAGGATATCATGTGACCCACAATCTCTGCACTAACAGTGTTTAGGGCCTGGGAAGCCATTCAGGAAGACAGGAAGGCCAGGGATGTTGAGAATCCCTTACTCCTCCCGGGGTGCAGTGGGTCCTGGGGATATAGAGGCGAGTATGCAGTGAGGAGAAAAGCTGGTCTCTGATGACTGTGCCACCTGCCATATGCCCCTGGGCTTGTTGCCTTGTCACTGAACGCTCTGCATTTCCAGCCAGATGGCTATTCATTCTCTCATTCATTCTTTCACTTGGTGCACAGATGTTTGCTGAGCACACCTCCGTGCTGGGCACCCTGCCAGGCCCAGCAGCGACTAAGACAGACAAAGCAGGTGTGGAAAGTGAACAACGCCTCTCCCCGCCCCCCCACCCCAGGCCTGCACCATCTGGGGATTCTTGGGGCCATCGACTAACTAGTGCTGATTACAATCCTAAAAGACACAATCGTGAACACCATAATCCCGAATGTGGAAATCCTAAAAGATCAAAATCCCTGCAAATCTAAAATCCTGGGAAATTAAAATGCTGAAAATCCGATCCCAAACACTGAAATCCTGATAATGGCAATTTCTTCTGTAAAGAATGCTATTTGAGGGATAGAATGTCTAATTCTGAGACACGGAGTATCAGTTCATTTCTGGTTGTATGCAGGATAGTTACTGAGTTGCTTATTTAGTTGTGTATTTCTGCTTTTCACTTGTAGCACCAGGCCTTCCTTTAAAAAACATTGGGCAGGAGGCTGGGAAGGTGGCTCAGTGGTAGAGTGCTTGCCTTGCATGCATGAGGCCCTGGGTCCAATTCCTCTGTACCACATAAGCAGAAAAAGCTGGAAGTGGAGCTATGGCTCAAGTGGTAGAGCGCTAGCCTTGAGCTGAAGAGCTGAGGGACAGCGCCCAGGCCCAGAATTCAGGCCCCATAACCTGCAAACAACAACAAAAATAAAAAAAACAAAAAATGTTGGCAGGCTGGGGTCTGGTGGCTCTTGACCATAAGCCTAGCTCTTCAAGAGGCTGAGATCTGGGAATTGTAGTTTAACACCAGTTTGGGGAGACACAGCTGTGAGACTATTCCAATTAACCACCAAGAAAGAAGGATGTGGAGCTGTGGCAGTAGAGTCAGCCTTGAGCAATAAAGCTAAGCAAGAGGAGGCCCCATGTTCAAGCCCCAGTGCACACATACACACAGGCATCAGAAAACAAAACTAATATGACAAGCTAAATGACCTTCTAAACCAAGTAAACAAGGTGATACCGAGATTCTGCAAGGGTCACAAAACATATGAAATGGTCCCTTGATGACTAAACATACAATTTCTTGTATCTACTACTAAATCTAAGGTAGAAAAACTAGTGTGTGCTTCATTTTTTCTAGTGGATAGCTCTTTAAAGAAGATCTCAACTCTTTGTTGCTATCTTGGCTTTGGATGACTGTATAAGGTTTGATCTAGCTCGTCGGGGGCCAGGGATGTCTCATATTTCAGGTAGCCCGAGAGTAACCAACGACAGTGCCACCTGTTTCTTTCCACATTTTGCTTTTAGACCTGATTCTTCATGAGTATAATTAATCTGTGTACAACCATCATATCCTTGTGACTATCATCAGCATCCTTGGGGGGGGGGTGTATGCTTGTGAAAATACACATCATTATTGCTTGTTACTGTGCAACAGGGCGATGAAGTGTACTGCTGTTTTTCTTAAATATACCTCTCTTTCTTGCAGTACTGAGAATTGAACCCAAAGTCTCATGCATCTTAGACAAGTTCTCTACCACTTGAGCCATGCCCTAGCTTCTAAATTCCCCTTTAAAAATGCGATCTCTACAGACATTTTTCATCTAGTGCAGAGGCTGTACCTACTACCTGGCTAAGAATTCAGAGGACCAATGGTGGGCCTGGGGAATGCAGATACTGTTGAAGGATGAAGGCCAAGAGGTGATGCTTGAGGTGGGCCTTCCATGGTGAAGGGCAGTTTCATGGGCTGTGAGCAAACAGGCACAGCTTGCCAAGAGCAGAGGACATGCCAGCAAACAGTTGGAGAAGGCAAAGTACTGTAGCTGTGGAGTACCACGCTGAATAGCCATTGGGAAAGTTTTGAAGACAGTGAGATGTGGGCATGTTGCTTTTAGAGGAGTCCAGGTGAGGTTGAGGAGGATGGGTGATGGAAGGAGAAAGACCCAAGGAGTAGAGGCCAGAGCACTCACCTTCAGAATAAGCTGGGCCTGTGATCCATTCTCACCAGTAGAATTTAATGGACAAGTGGGATGAGAAGTTGACACGCAGTCAGAAGTGCTGCATCACAGTAACAGGTGTTGAGAAAGAGGTCTATAGGGTGTAGGAGATAAGTGTCTGGGAGGAGCTCATGGATCAGGCCTTCCTGGAAGACAGCAGGGCTCAGACAAAGGATCTAAGATGGGAATGAACTTGGCTGTAGAGCAGACAGGGATCAAGTACAGTGAGAGTTGGGAGAGTGGAGATCAGGAATAAGCTGGACCCTGCTGAGTTCACATTGGGAGAAAAAGCAGACAGGGGAGGCCCCTGAGGCTCTGGGAAGTGACAGGCATTTGTGTCCGCCCTCTCCCACCACATGAGGACCAGAGAGGGTCCTGTGGTCAGGAAATGGGCTGGCCAAACAGAATCTACTGGTGTTTTGCTTTTGAACATTGAGAAATAAATCTGTTCATAAGCTCATGTCATTTTCCAGTGACATATAGAAAAGAGGGAGTCCTTATAACAGCCCCAGGTAATGGCAGAGTTTGAGGGAATGGTGGGCCAAGAGGTCTATATGGAAGAAGGGGTTGGTTTGGGGGATCCCATAAGCATAGCTGCGAGAGCAGCACCAGAAACACTAGCATTGAAGTCAAAGCTACACAATGGGGAGCTAGATAGCCTGGGCCTGGATTTCCCCCCGCTCCCCTTTTCTGGTCCTGGACTTAAACTCAGGGCCTAGGCCAGCACTGTCTTGAGACTATTTTTCCCCCCTCAAAGATAGTGCTCTGCCACTTGAGTCACAGTACCACTTTTGGCTTTTGGGTGGTTAATCGGAGAGAATTTCATGGAGTTTCCTGTCTGGGCAGACCTTGAATCCTCAGATCTAGGCCTCCTGAGTAGCTAGCATTTACAGGTCCGAGACACTGGTGGCCAGCTAGACATGGACTTTTTTTTGGCGGGGGGGGGGGGGGGGGGTCTGGTCATGGGGCCTGAACTCTGGGCCTGGGCGCAGTCCCTCAGCTCTTCAGCTCAAGGCTAGCGCTCTACCACTTGAGCCACAGCGCCACTTCTGGCTTTTTTCTTTTTGGTTATGTGGTGCTGAGGAATCAAACCCAGGGCCTCATGCATGCAAGGCAAGCGCTCTACCACTGAGCCACCTTCCCAGCCCTAGACATGGACTTTTTTGCTGCAGGCAACACTAATATCTGCAGTTATACAGCTTGTGTGGATGTTGCACAAGCAGTAGCTTTGTGCTAGGGCCAGGCACAGTGAACTTAGGGAACCCACCTCAGAGCAGTGAGTAGGATGCTTGTTTAGAAGAGATGAGGTCACAGAGCAGGGGAGTCATGGAGGGCCTCCACACCTCGGTCTGACACGGACAGCCCCTAGTGGATGGGCCCGCATCAGAGCACCATCGCAGCTGTGTCCCTGCTCTGTAGGCCAAAGCAGCAGGGTGAGGGGTAGCGAACAGATGGCAGTCAGAAGAGGCTTATTTTATTAGTTTGCCGTAAGATGAGAATATGGGATATAGCAAAAACAAACAAAAAAACCAACACCCCCAAACACAAAAAACCCCACTAAGATGTTTATGATTTAAGCATATTTAAATGCCAAGATGATCCTAGAGAGAAAAGGTTAACCATGCAAAAGAGGCGGTCAAAGTCCCAAAGCTGAGAGAGCAGGGTAGATATGGGTCTGCTTGTGAGACGAAGGCCTCTTCCACAAGAACGGGAGAAAGAAAAAAGAATGGGTGGCATACAAGTAGGCTTGTGACACTGACAGCCAAATTTATTCAAGGGGACGCTATGTGATGACCCCATAATCTTCACAGAAAAGGAAGCAGGATTACCTTGTGGGGTGAAGTTAAAGGAGTTGGAGATGGAAAGAGGGTGTTATGGTAACTTCAGACATTGAGCAATTATTGGCAGTGAAACCAATGTATTAAGGGGTAGCTAACAGGTCCAGGTAAGAAAGAGGTATCCTAGGGCACATTCCCATTCAGGAAAACGCAAAGGAGCTGGCGGAGTGGTAGGCAGTTCAGGAGGTTAGGGGAGAGTGAACGCATGCAATTGCAAAGAGATTTCAGAACTCTGGACAGATGGAAGCTCACTGGCTGGAGATCCCCAGACAGCAGCTGGTGGTCCCATCTATCTGCCAGTTTACCACCTTCTGCAGGAAGAGCTGTGGTTTTCCTTCTTCCTTTTACCATCCTGTGAATCCAGGGAGCACTTTGTAAACTTCAGGTGGAGGCAACAGGGAAAGAGGATCGATACACACAGGCCAAAGATGGTGTTTCTCTCTTTTATTTAAAAACAGTGCTTCATTACCATTCGCAAAGGCTGAGGCAGTCCTCCTCCTTTGCTTAAGTTTATAAAAGCCAGCAACATGATCAATAATTTATACACATGGAGAGTAATACAAAAAATAAGGAAGAAAAGCTAAAGATCTAACTACTCCGACCTTCACAATTCCAGCTACTTGATAATAATAGGAGTAACCCAATGAATACTGTATGGTCTGAAAGCTACTATACAATATGATTCTTAAGGAGAAGGGAGGGGAATTAGAGACTGTCACAAAGCCCTGGGGTGCTTCTCTGGAGTTGGCAGGGAAACAGGGCCCTGGGCAAGCGGCTCGGGTGTCCTAGGAAGTGAGTCTTGGGAAGGACGGGAGGGGAGGAGGCAAGGCCAGGTGGTCAATTGTACAAACATCCCATGGATGCCCCCAAGTCCCCGAATGTACCTGTTCTGCCATGGCAATGGGAGGGGCCAGAGAATCCGTGGTGCACGTGGGGCCCGGCCAGTCCCTGCCACGGGTGGGGGTGGGGAGGAGAGGAGAGGTTCTGCGGCAGCGGCGCTTGAGCCTTGCAAAGATCTGGACTGAAAAGCTCAGAGCCTCAGGTGGGTGAGCCTGTCAAGGACAAGGAAACTCCTCTGGCTCTCTCCTCACTTTGTAGCCCTAGTGTCAGCCCAGCCTGGCTTCAAATGTTCACAAGCAGAATGATAACATAAGAAAAAAAAATTCATGTCCTTTAAGGGGGAAAAATAGGATCAATTCATCACTCGATATATAATACAGCCAAAATGAGCTGCCGAATAAGCACGCGCACACAAAAATACTGTGAACAGAAAATACAAGGAAACGAAGAAGCTGGGAGTCTTCATGGGGTGCAGACATCACTTAAAGCACTTATCAGTCCCCAGGAAAAAAAACAACAACAACAACAAACCAAAACATTTTCTTTTTGAAAAATTCAAAAACCTCACATGCCCCCTGGGGAATCTGGTATTGGTAATGGGCAGGGGGAGAAGGGAGATAAAGAGAATCTGGGTTCCCTTTTTTGCTTGCCAGGGTGAGCTGAGCCCTCATGTCACTGGCAGGTATAGCACCACCAGGCAGAGGACCATGGCCCTATGCTGGTGGGCTCCGTAAAGGCAAGGTTTGAGTTTTGGCTGTTGAGCAGTTCTCAGTTACCAATCCCTGCCAACCAGCACTACCATGGCTGAATTGATCTACCGTTTTCCTGAGTAAACTGTAACTGGTTACAGTTTCGGTAACATGCATAAGAACTCGGCTACTACAGCCACCTGCAATACTTCAGGGGTCCCTCCATCCCTCGGCTCCTCATCCTAGCGCCTCTCACTGAGAAATGCCATAACTGGTAGTCTGGTCTGTGAGCTGTATTTTCAAAGCAAGGTGCCAGAGACTCTACTGTACTCAGTGATTGAGAGGGCACAGGCTGGCTTAGGACACCCAGAGCCGACTTGGAAAGGGCCCTGTTTCTTGCTCTAGCTCCTGGATGGCTATTGCCTGGCTGATCAGTAAAGCAAGGATGAAGGAAGTACACAGGAAAAGGACAGGGAGGGAAGAGGCTTTTGGACAGTAACATTTCCAAAAAAATATAGTGTTTTATGCAACAGAGAATCAAATGTCACTGTTGTATACTACAAAGAGTCAGACATTCTCAAGAGCATGACAAAATAAAACACACACGTTTACATCCGATGTTCACCTTGCCCACTATTTTTTTTCCTATCTTAAAACAGTGCAAACAGGTTAACTTATGCTTTTTAAAACATCACGACCCCTTCCCCACCCTCCCCTCCCCAAGTCCCTTTCCTCCTAATATCTGGGGGAAAAAAATCTGCAATTCTGCAAATGTTACTGTGCTAGAGAGTTGCAAGCAGCAGAGAATCGGCTAACCTGGGCAAAGAGGGAAAGTTTGCCTCTCTCTCTCTTGAAATGTCCAGGTGCTAACCAAACTGTCCCTTAGTTGGCCTTGTTCTTCTGCCAAAAGGAAGTACATCCCTGGGGCAGCTTCCACCCCATCTTATAGTCCGTCATATCTGGAAGCTACGTCGTTACTGGATGGTGGTGATAACTGATGTTTGCTACGTCTCTAGTAAAGCATACCCTAAATTAAGAGCAGTTCAGCCCCTGAGGAGTCCACATTCGAGGAAAAGCTGCTATCACTGATTTCTATTGACTAGATAGCCACTAGCTCCCCTTGAACTAAGAGCTGAGCCCCAGTTGACTTCTTTAAAGAAAGAAAATATACTGGCTCCATTCAGACTGAGGCTGCTGGAGGATGATAGTGATAGGTTTTGTTAAACCTGAGAGCCTTAAAAATCGATGAATCACAATGATGGATCTGAGTTAATGCAGTTGAACTATGGAACACAGGAATTCTAGAAAAGACCTAAGGGCAGCTCTCTGGGATGAAAGAGGGATATCCAATAAAGGTTTTCACTAGGGGTCTCCCTAAAGGAGGCCGACTTCTAAGAATAAGATGCCTAGTATAGAAAGTCCAGGTCATGGATGAGAGCGAAGTTGAGAAGGCCATCCTTGAACTGTGATTCAGCAACAGTAAGCTTTTTGAAAATTTATCAGCCTACATCCCCTAGAGAAGTTATTCATAAAATGCCAACCCCTTTGGCTGTGGCAGGAACGCAGAAGCACAGATGCCTCAAGGAGCCTGCCTCTGGTGACGCTGATGGGAGGGGACCTCCAAGCTCCACAGCGGATGGGGAGGCTGAGCCTGTGAGATCAGGATGGTTGAGAGCGCTTCGATTCTCAGCGTTGACCCTGAAAACCAGAGGGCCCTTGCATAAGAAGCAGAATTCCAAGTATTCTGTCTCAGAAAAGGGAGCTGGAGAAAGCGACACAGAAGAGCACCCCTGGCAATACAGCAGGAACACCCTGGAAAACAGAGCTTGCCTTGGAGGCCTCAGCCAGAACCAGCTGAACTGAAGTGCACAAAGGCTCCTCAAAGCCTGGACTCTGCCTCTTTTGGAAGGCTATGGGAGGGAGCTGCCTTCTCTACCTTGCCGGCTATCCTCATTCCTATCCAAGAAAAGAGAAACATTCTCACTCCTCTGCCACAAATATCATCAGTGAGGACTTGATGGGGTCTCCACCTGGCTAAGTGGCTTGCCACTTTGGGAGAATGACCCAAATGTCTGTTTCTTCAGTCAGCAGACATTCTCCCTCAAAACCAAAGTAAAAGAAAGAGCCTCCCTGCCCTCATTCCCCAGAACTCTGTAAGCCCCCAGCCCTTGTCCTCACCTAAAATATTTATATACACACAATATTGTCTTAACAGCAACAAACCTAACTTTGGCTTGGGGGAGGAGGCAGCCCTGTGAATGGCTGCCATTTGCTTGAACTGTCTTGTCCTTTACTCTATTGGCTTCCTCCTTCCCCGAATCCATGAGTGCACCAGGCCTGGAGTTTCTTTGCTATCTCCCCAGGTTATTAGGGAAGAGGGATGGGAAGAGGGAGATGTCTCCATGTGGCAGGCCAGTGCCCTCCCAGACATCAGTTTACAAAGAATGCTTGATACTGTCACATCAGTCATTTTAATTCAGGGACATGAAATCAGCTTATCAGAAAAGAACATGTGGAGGCAGGAGTTAAAAAAAAAAAAAATCAAACAAAATCCATAATAAAGCAGAAGCTCCACGTCTCTGAACTACTCCCTTTAGCAGCTATCCCTTGGGGTGAAAGTTCACCCTAGTACCAGTGTGAGCAGAGCAAGGAGCCAGCGGACCATACCTGCCCACTTCCTAATGCTTTTTGTTTTGGAAACACTGTCAGACTTTTGTCATTACTAGTTATAGCCCGGAGCTTTCTCCCCTACCTTGCTAACATAAAACTAAAGCTAGACAGCAACTGCAGTGACTCACTGTGTGGACTCTGCAGGGGACCCTTGCCGTTTCATAGCTTCTTTCCTTGGTGGGCTCTAGCTTTTGTTTCCTGTAGTGTTAATGTGCACCAAGTGGTTCAGGTGCTCAGCTGGTGTCTTTGGAGGATAATGCGAAGCTGGGTGGAATGGCCAAGAGAGCTGGAGACTGTGGATAGAGAAGTGACTCGCAGAGGCTCTGGAAGATGAAAATTCCTATGGCTTTGGGGTGAACGCACAGTGCTTCTGCCTGTCCTCAAGTGTCTTTATCACCGACATGCCCAGGGGCACCTGGCCTAGGGGCTTGACCTTTCCCCAACAGATGCTTTATTATGTTTTCAAATAAATTGTACTGATTTTCTGTTGCAAGCAAGATAAGGAATATCAGACTTAATATTCCTTTCTTCAAGCTGTGCCAAGATACCTGGAGGAAATCTGGCTATTTATTCTCTGTCCCTGGATACTAAACTCCTGAATGTTGAGGACATGGGAGCAGCATGTTACTGAAGAACAGATGAGCTACACGGTGGTTACAGAAGTAGCCAGCAGATGTGCTAGGATTGGAGGAAAGAAAAGAAACAAGTGTTTTCATACTCCAGAGTTCATTCTGAGATTGGTTTCCTAATGAGGTGTTTATTATCCACAGTCTGAGAGCGTGTTTGGAAATATCAACACTGTAATTCCAAAAGCTATGCCAACTGTCTCAGGCTGGGTGTGTAAGATGATTGTAAAAAGAATGGAGAAGACAGGAGGGAAGGAGGAGAGGAAAAGTGTTTTTAATTCTCCTGCTTTGCAAGCACAAATTCCTCTCTAGTGGCATGTGGATTCCAGCCACAGCCAATCAGAATCTCCTGCCAAAGACCAGAATTCAGAAGACTAGAAGAATATGCCGCTGCAGAAAGATCTCTTCCACTTCTGTTGTCCCCAGCCACGCAGCACCAGATACACTTTGGTAATTCTGTCTGCCGATTTCTGATCAGATGCGTATCTCTGCTCCTAGTGTCTCTCCTTCCTCATCAACTGCCTTTTCCGTGACTGACAGAATAAGCTAGGCACGGACATATAGACATGGAAATGCATTATCTTTTTTTTGTTTGTTTGTTTGTTTTTCGTTTACCACAGTTAAAAAAAAAGAAAAAAAAAGAAAAAAAATGCACAATCTTTGGAACAAAAGAATTAAAGGCAGAAATTTAAAGGAAAAATACATATTCAAAGAACATAGTGAGGTATAAAAAAGTATTCTCTCTTTTTTTGTGTTTTTTTTTGTTTGTTTGTATTTCCTCTTCATCTTGCTATAGAGTTCCTCTACTAGTAAATATTGCAATAGCCAGGCCTCATGAACTGGGGGCTGTCCCATTTGCAGGGGTTTCACGTCACTTCAGTAGGGGGCAAATCGGCTGTAGCCACCTCGGTATAAACTCGCCTGTAGTGATTAAAGACAAAAATAATTAGACAGCTGATGAGAGAAGCATTACAAATGAAGAAACGTGTCTTGGGGATGGATTTGGAGAAATGGCTTCCTTTGAAACTTCAGTGAAAGGGGCCACATACTGCCTGGTGAAGTCAGGAAATCAACTTCAGCCTCCAAGGTGCACCAGCCAGAGTCCAACACAACACCTACTTTATTAATCAGCCCAGAATGGAGACTTAATGCAGTTCAAGCTGAGTTTAGCAAACAGAATGATTTTGACCAGAATGGGTCTTTCTTTACCCTGATACATAATCACAATCCTTACCAGAGACCCATCAGGGGCATGTGTTACTTCTGATCTTTATTTTTGACATGAATTCGTGTCGCATCCTGTGTTTGAGACGATTCAACTTAAGTTCATCTTTCAACTATATATACATAAAAATCCATTTCCTCTGCAATCTATCATATTGGATTGATTCTACAACTGCCCAAGGTTACCAAAACCAGTGGATACTCCGGTTCCATATATATCTATATCTATCTATCTATATCTATATATGTATATATCTATATCTATCTATCTATCTCCTCTATATGCTTTCAGTCATCTTTAGAATACTTTTAATTCTTTCCCTAGTATTTCAGTTCTTTCTATGGATGTGAAATGTATTCACGTGAAGGGCTGAGTATATACTAACTAGTTTGTTTCTTTCAACTTTATCTGATGGCTTATCTCTCTCAAGAAGGTCCCCAGAAATCTACCTTTCCTTGGCTCATTTTTTATATAGGACTTTTTACATATGATTTTTTATCATTTGGCACTAAATAAAATATTAGAAACATCCATTGTTGTGCTATTACTCTCTCTGCTTCAATTCTAAACATACTTTCCCCGAAGACCTTATCTTTTCTTTCCCCAAACCTTCATCAGCAGGCTTTCGTTGGGAAAAGTGTCAGGCTCTCAACTTTCACACCTTAACTTTTTCACTTCATTCTGCTTCCCTCTCAGACAATACTGCCCATGTATGGAAGTAGCTGCCTAGCTGCATTCTGTGTTGGAGAGAATGCCTGATGTTAGGAGGTCCCACTGAGGCAAAGCCTGCCTGCCAGTAAGTCCCATTCACTAGAACTAAAGTTTTTCTAGCCAGACCCAAGAATATTGCAGTAAGGACTTTGGTTAGGGTAGATTATTCTAGACAAGCTCTACGGTCATCTTTCATTTTTTCCATGAAAATATCACTTTTTGCCAATGATAAAATGTTATTGATAGAATAATATCTACCAGAAGGCTTAGGAATTAGCAGGATCTGCAATTCAAAATGATATATATTATGATCTTTGGAAAGCTTGCTCTGATTTTTATTCTCCAGTCTTTGCCAGTATCAATCAATAAAATTATGACAATGGCATGTATCTAACATTGGAACTTGTTTCCTTACTCCTCTTCTAAATGATGTCATTATTCATCGAAGACAGGCACTACCCATTCCTTTCTAAGCCACATAGCTGATATACAGATAACGACAGTGATGTGAAGTTTCCAGTGACCTAGGAGGCTCACATTGTGGCAACAGATGAAGGACTGAACTGATCCTTTCTCTAGACCTTTTATAGTCTGTATGTAAAAGTTAGAGGGAGAAAAACAGTTTAAGGGAAAATGTATATTCACTTACCACAGCGCCAACTCCATAGCTAGCGGCAGGGGCAAGGGCATGGTAGGGGTCGGCTGTGTACACCCTGCCATAACTGGAAAAAAGAAGCACAATCAGAAAGAGAAGAAAAGGGTTTACTCTGCTAAAGATGTGAGTTATTTAGTCTTGAATTGTTATTAGGAAAATTCTACCTGAATGCAGTCCTGAAATATTCTGAAGTACTAGAAAGGGAGTTGAAAGAGGAAGAAGGAGACTGCAGTAGCAGATCCAAGAAAATACAACAAGACAGTGAATAGGGGGAGGGGCCCATGGCTCCTATGCTGGCACAGCGAGGCCATGCAGAGCAGACCTGCAGAGAAACCTGGCTGGCAGGAAGCCCAGTGAACTAGGTTCTGCTCTAGCAGTGGTGAGGAGGAAAGGCAACGCTGTGGATGGTGCAGTGCCTGCTCCTGTGATCTACATACCCGTCGCTGTAAGCGGCTGCGGCGGCTGCAGCAGCTGTGGCTGCGGTTGCAGTAGCAGGCTGTGCATATCTGTAGGCTGCATATCCACCCTACAGGAGAAAAGAGAACTGACTTTACAGATACCTCTCCCCCGGGACAGACACACACCTCCCCAACCCAACAGACATACAAGTGTAGACACAGGGACAGACAGCAACACAGACACACATGGGAAGAAATGTTTCAAACTGCATTGGTCTTCATGTTATTCCTCTAAAAGGAAATTAAGCTCTATCCAAATTGCTTTCCAATTTGTGACGGTAACAAAAAATAATCTACATAGATAATGCCTATTAAGAAATAGATGTAATTTTGGGTCTGTCTTCACAGTGTTTCTTGAACTTTCAAAAAAAAAAGTCACAGAATGTTGAGAGAACACTAACAGGAAATGCAAATTATAGAGTTAAAAATATGTAACATACTTGGATTGGCTCATTCATTACTAAGAGACTATAGTCCACCACAGGAAGGTCTAACCAGATCTGGTCTGGTCCTACCACATTTGTTAAGAAGCTAAGATTATCAGGCAGTATTTAAAAGGAAAGGACAAAGTAGGTCAAGACCAGTGAACTTTATCTTGTGAGACAATGAAGCTTGCTACCTGCTTTAAAAAAAAAAAAAAAAAAAGTAGTGTGCTGGGTGCTGGTGGCTCACACCTGTAATCCTAGCAACTCAGGAAGCTGGTTTCTGACAATGGCAGTCCCAAACCAAACTTGGCAGGAAAGTCTGTAGCTCATATCACCAATTAACCACAAGAAAACTGGAAGTGGTGCTGTAGCTCAGAGTAGTAGAGTGCTAGCCTTGAGCAAAAAAAGCTCAATAACAATTCAAGCCCCACGATCGCAAAAAAAGTAGTTGTGACAGACTGTATAGCTTAAAAGCCAAAATATAATTTACCACTGGACCTTTTACAGAAAAGTTTACCAACTCCAATCTACATTTCAGATCCTGGCACATACATACATGGGGAGCCACTGTAAGTACTTAATGACATCTGCTTTATCTTGCTTTTTCTTCAAAAAGATTGTGTGATTCCTACAGCTTCATTGTAAACTGAGACTTTTCCTTATTTTCAAATATTCTCTCAGCTTGTAATTTCACCTCCATTTATATGAATCAAATATTCAAAAGGTATTGTGAGTGCCTCAATAATTCATGTCCAGTTTTAGAAAAGACTTCAAAGAGGATCACCACAACCAATGAGCCACAAGATAGGTGACTAAAAAGTGGCAAGTCATAATTTCCCTTATCCTTCCAAATTTCCTATTTACACCAAATTCAAATAAAAAATTATTATGCTCTTCCTCTATCAAAATTAAGTGTTTGATTGGTGCTGGTAGTTCATACCTGTAATTCTAGCTACTCAGGAGATCTAAGGACCAAGGTTTGGAGCCAGCCTGGGATAGAAAGTCTGTGAGACTATTATCTCCAATTAATAATCAAGAGAGCAGGCAGTGGAGTTGTGGCTCAAGTGTAGAGCATTGAGAAAAGAAGCTCAGGGACAGTGCCCAAGTCCTGAGTTCAAGCCCCAGGACTGGCACACACACACAGAAAAAGTAATTGATGGGTCATCTGGACACCATTTAAGTCATGAACAGCAGGATGGCATTTTGTTTCTGTAGTCTATGTTTACTTTTCATGGACATCTGAAGCTTTCCACTATTCCTTCTAATATTCAATTCTTTATAAATCTATAAAAGAAATTTCACATTTACTTCTGTGTCACTGCTTAGGATTTAAAACAAGTAGCTGCATTTTTCTTTCATTTTGGTGGTACTGGGGGGTTTGAACTCAGGACTCCATACTTGCTAGGGAGATGCTTTTTTGTGCTGGTTATTATTCTTTCCTCTTAAGTTAGGGGAGAAAAAGGAGTCTTGTAAACTTTTCTGTCTGGGCTGGTCTCAAGCAGTAATTCTCCTGATCTCAGCTAGGATTATAGGTGGGAGCCAGCTGAAAACAAATATTTTCTAACGGAACTCTTGCTCTCCTTGCCATCCAATCTAGCAGCTTCTCACTTCTTTTATTTTTATTAAACTTTATTTTGGAAAAACCTATAATTTTATGGGTTACTAGAGCTCTTCACTTTTGGTGTGTGCTGGTTCTGGGGTTTGAACTCAGGGCCTGGGCACGATCCCCGAGCTTTGCTCAAGGCTAGCATTCTATCACTTGTACCACACAACTCCACATCCACTGACCCCCCCACCCCCACCATTTTTTGGGTAGTTTATTGCAAATAAAGAATCTCATGGACTTTTCTGCCTGGCTGGCTTTGAACTACACTTCTCAGATCTCAGCCTCTTAAGTAGCTAGGATTACAGGTGTGACTAGCACCTGGTGTTTTTTTCTTTTTTTTTTTGGGGTCCGGTAGTGGGCCTGAACTCTGGGCCTGGGCACTGTCCCTCAGCTCTTCAGCTCAAGGCTAGCGCTCTACCACTGAGCCACAGCGCCACTTCTGGCTTTTTTCTTTTTTCCTTATGTGGTGCTGGGGAATCGAACCAAGGGCCTCAAGCATGCAAGGCAAGCGCTCTACACTGAGCCACCTTCCCAGCACCTGTTTTTTTCTTTTATGACTTACGCTTTCTGTAATTGAAGAAACTGCAATGTGAGGGCAAATGTACTCTTGCTTTTTAAGTCTACAGTGTGTGAAGTCATTTGAAGTAGTTTGGAATATATATTAAAAACAACCTGATTGGCTTTAGCAGCTATGTATTTCCTTTTTTTTTTTGGTCGTGGGGTTTGAACTCTGGGCCTGGGCGCTGGCCCTCAGCTCTTCAGCTCAAGGCTAGCACTCTACTTCTTGAGCCACAGTGCCACTTCTGGTTTCCTGGTGGTTAATTTGAGATACAAGCTCACTGACTTCCTTGCCTGAGCTGGGCTTGAACTGTGATCCTCAGATTTCAGCCTCCTGAGTAGCTAGGATTACAGGTATATAAGCCACTGGTGCCTGGCTTGTATTTGGTTCTTTAAAGTATAATTTCCTACTCATTTACAAATTCTTCTATAAAGATGATGCTACTAAGTATTACCAAACACTGGCAGTAAAATGGTAATGGGTATGAAGATGGCATAAAGTATTTTCCAGGTCTAGTTGTGATCAGTGGTTTCTTGGAATTCCAACCATGTCTATTGGAATGGGCAAGCCAAACTGATCTGGCAAAGCTCTAGATCTTGGTTGCAACAGAGTTCACCAAAGCATTTCTTTTACTTTTTTTTTTTTTTTTTTGCCAGTCTTGGGGCTTGAATTTAGGTACTGTCCCTGAGCTTCTTTTTGCTCAAGGCTAGCACTCTACTACTTGAGCCACAGTGCCACTTCTGGATTTTTCTGAGTAGTTTACTGGAAATGAGAATCTCATAGACTTTCCTGCCCAGGCTGGCTTCGAACTGCAATCTTCAGATCTCAGCCTCCTGAGTAGCTAGGATTACAGGTGTGAGCCACTGGCACCTGACTTACCTTGGTTCTTTTTATAGGGTTCTAAAGATGACACAAAGCAATACAAGCATTTACTATATAAAGCAAAAGTTGATTAGTATGACTGAATTTTTAGTTGGACCCCAAAGGCTCGATTTTTCATAATATTGAGACTTGCTTTCATTAGCTTAGAATTAAAGCTTTGTAAAAGCAAGAGCAATCTAACATGTGGTTTATCCTTAAACATCTAAACTAATAAAAGCAGTTAATGTTCAATTCTTGCTTACCTAGGTAAAGTACTACAGAATAGTCTCATTAAAGAGTTCTGAGGCCCAAGAGTCCTCATTGAGGGTGGCTTCAGGCTCAACCCCTGGAAGCCTGAGTAGAGATAATGGGGCTACTTTTAGTATAATTTCTCCAATTACAGCTTTGATCTGGATCCTACAAATTCTGAGAAAAAAAGAGGTTCTAAGTGAGGTACAAAAGGAGTAACTCCCTACAGTTTCTGTGGCCTTCAAGAAGACAGAGGGACCCCTTTGTTGAGAAGTTATGTCACTGTTAACCCACAGCATTCCAAATAATGACAACTATAGTAAAGTTTCTTCCTTCCCACTCAGAAGGAAATGGACATTATCCATGGGCTATGGTTTCCTTCTTTTGCAAGTGAACGTGACTTTGAAGTCTGAACTTGATGAGGCTGTCTGTGCATCAAGTGTAGGAAAATAGGGCAGGAATGAACTGTTTTACTGACAATGACAGGATCAAGAAGAATGTCAACACCAAGGGGAAAAACCCAACATTAATATGTTTAAAAAATCAGATAACCTTTCAACCTGGCTACTCTCATAAAGACTTTAGTATGATAATGATACTATAGAGAAGTACTTCAAAGGAGTGCTATGTATAGGATGGATGGGTAATAGCATAATGAAGCAATTCACCAATTACTCCAAATTAAAAAACTCAATTGCACATCACGAATTTATTCTTTTTAGATATTTATGCTAAGCATTTCTGGATACTTAACTGGATATTCAAAAATATAATTTAACAAAATGCGTGAAAAAAAACCCATCTAGGTATACTTATTTCTATTCTGGATTTCAAAGTGCATAAAGATTCCAGGCTGAGCAACTGCTTAGTGCTCATTTCTACCAACAATCTGAAGGTTTTGTTGAACATGAGAACAAAGTGCAGTTTGAAACACCAGGTTTTCATTACTGTTTCTTAAATTTTTCAAAAAGAATAAGGTGGGAAAGGAGTAGGAGAGAGGGTTCAGGCGTGGGGAGGGGATATGGCGCCACATTTATTAATCACATTAAAAACTAAGCATGCCAACATCTGGAGCTAAAACAACCAGCAAAATCACCACGTTCAGACTCAGTATTGGCTAACTCTATCTATCCCAGCATTCTCTTGGGACAGCGGTTTGCCCTAGGCTCTACCACAAGCTCGGTGAAGTACACAGCCTCAATTACTAGAGCGTGCAGCCACAACGACCTGGTATTACGGAAACAGTCAGTCACCACTTGAGTTAACATTCCATACCCTAACGACTGGCCCCTCCCCAGCCCAAAGGAAGAGTAAATCTTGCCCACCCAGCCCTGACCCACACCACAATGTTAATAATTATAACAAGCAGTAACCCATCTGTTATATCAGAGAAGGGAACAGAGACTCCACTGAGAGATTTAGAGTGAGATGTTAACATTTCTTCAGCTGACTGCACAAACAAACAAACAAAAAAAAGAGGAGAAATAATTCATTTGGAGATATGAAGTCATGAATAGCTGATGTGTATTGCTTTTAACCATGCACTGATGCAAAACTGAAGCAACCATTAATAATAAAAATTAAAAAGGACATATGTATTTACACACAATCAGACCTGTTTGATCTGAAGCAGTTTGCAGATTCTATCTGTGTGTGATTTGAAATAAAACAAAAATGGGGATTAGCATGGCCACAGCACACCCTAATGTAGGAGGGCACACACGGACAGCTTTCTGGAACTCTGAGAGCTGCCTAAATTTGGCTGGCTAATCCTGATTCAAATAGATACATGCCCCTTGAAACGTAATTACTCTGTAATTCTTTTGTAATTCATTCTCAATAACACCTAGGGTTCCCAACTGGAGCAGTCCAATGCTGCATCACTTCCTATTCAACCTGCCTGACCCACAGTACTCATTTGTCTGTTCATCTTTTGGCAACAACTGCATATTCTGATTTACAATGTTCTTAAATCTTTCCTGCATTTGAAAAATTTATTTTTCAACTACTCTTAACACATCTGTCTTTCTAGTTTAATGCTGTTGCTTTGAGATCCTTTTCTGCAAGGACTTCTGAAGCTGTTAAAGGAAAGCCTCTTTCTCATGCCTAGTGTCATCTCCTTGGGATTCTTACTCTGTACTGAATCAACTTAACCATCTAGTTAACCTTATACTGTTGCCATAGCCAGCTACAGTATTTTTCCAGTCTATGGCTGTGTTTTAAACTAGAACAAAATAGAAGAGTTCTAAATGTCGTTCCTCCTGTATCTGAGCTTTATCTGCCTATTTATTAGGTTTAACTAATACTGGTTTTATTAACCTTACACTGATAGACCTTTATCTCATCTTAATTTTACCCTTGCCTTTAATTTCATTATATTTTTGCTTTAGGTTTACATTAAAACAGGACTTTGGTGAGCATGTGATGTCAAGACACCTTCTTTCTACCTGAAAGACAATGACATGTGACACTGAGGAGGAGAGTGTATATTTCAAGACCAGAAGACAAAAATGAAGGCTTGTTATCTCCATGTAGTGCGTGGATCAACAGAGCAAGGTGAGTGAGTGTGTGTGTGTGTGTGTGTGTGTGTGTGTGTGTTTAGGTAGGGGAGATGAGTAGGTATACTGACTAAAATCATCAGAGCAGAGATCTATTCTAATTAGTAAGGGTTTAATACTAAGCCTTTTGGAATCACCTCATTTGCTCTCTCTTTTCCCTAATTGCCTCTCCACTCCAGCTGAGAACTACCATTCTGGAAGACATCACTGAGTTCTTACATGGTAATGTGACCATCTTTGAGTAAATGTAAAAAACAGATAGGAACACAAAAACTTATCATTACTAATTTTTTGACTGAGAGATCTATCTACTTGGTAAAGTAGTATTTGAATTTTATCTTAATGTGGTATCCTTGACATCACTTCTGTAATGGATATGATTTTTAATGAATCAAACTTTTCACATACTTACTAGTCCACATCTCTCCAAATTAGTTCAATTTCAAAATTGAACTGGGTAGCCACATAAAGTAATTAGAGTAAGAAGTTGTTGGCTTTCCCATCTCACACCCATCTATCAGCACACCTCCTTACAGAGAGTGTATCATTCATTATCCAAAGACATTCACTGATCTACTCAGGTGAGAGGAAGAGAGGGTGAGAAAAATACTCCTTTAGTTTTTTGAGTCCCAGCATATTTAGATTTTTTAACTTCAAATTTACCTAGCATAGTGTAGTCCAATTACTACTAGTATTTCATTGTAGGGCCTCTTGGGGGACTCAATTTTTTATTTGTGTGTGTGTGTGTGTGTGTGTGTGTGTGTGTGTGTGTGTTTGAGTGCACCGGCACACGTGTGCACGTATGAGCTGGTCCTAGGGCTTGAATTCAGGGCCTGGGTGCTATCTCTGAGCTTTTTGCGTAAGTCTAGTGCTACTACTTGAGCCACAGCTTTACTTCCAATGTTTTGGTGGCTAATTGGAGATAAGAATCTCATAGATTTTTCCATCCAGGTTGGCTTTGAACTGTAATTCTCAGATCTCGGCCACCAGAGGTGAGTCACTGGCACCCGGTGGGACTCAAAATTTTAAGTCCTATTTGGGTGGAATTCTACTTCCTTCCTTTTCACATTTCTTTCACAGTAGTTACAAATGTCCCTTTCTGCTAAAATCTTCAATATGAAAGACCAGTTTAAATGCCATAGGCAAATGTGGTTAACAAATTACGAGAGGCAGCAGTGATGGGACAGTGCATGTGACACGTCTGGTGCAGATATGTGGCAGTGGGACAGGAGCACTTAATTTGGAGAAAGTGCTCTTAATGTGTGGGATGTGACAGTGTGCACTGCTGAGGTAGCAGGGCTTAGATCACACGCTCACAAGTCTTGATTGTCCAAAAAAGCCTCTGTTCCCATCTCTAACGTGGAGCTGGAATGGTTAGTATAATTCAATTTTTTCACTGCAATCCACAATCTGATTGATTGGCAGGTCACACTGGCACTCCTACCTGAGGTATTTTAGCGCTAATGATTGGTTCCTGTAAGACTATTCTATAACAGAACACAGGAAGAGCAGTTCAAAAAACACAGCTGTGGAAGGAAAACAATCATACAAAAAGCCCACTATGGGGCCCACCAGCCTTTTCTTTCCTTTGGATGCAAGCATGCTTTTCACAGGACGAAAATTTGGAGCAGTTTGTTGCCCCACTTAGAAGGTAAATTAGGGTGAACTATGCCTTTTCTACTGGGCAAAAGAGAAAGGAAGAAATAGTAGACACATGATCTGTGAGCCACGTACCCCAGCCCTATCCTGGCAGGTCTTTATATTACTCTATGGACACAAGTGCTATATCAAATCTTCACAGAGGACAGTGCTATTAAAGAAACAGAAAGAAAGAAAAGTGGCTATCAGAAGTTAATGCTTAAGAGTAGAACAGGAAAAGGGATCATAAGAAATCCTCCACAATTAACAATTTAATGTTAACAAAACCAGCACTTAACTCTTCTGTCTTGTGTCTTCTCTTCAAGCTCTGCTCTCAGTGTACTTTTTATATGAGATAAAGACTTCACTCATTCTGTCTTAATATGTATTTCCAAGGAAGAAAGAACTAAGCATATATTGATAGATTTTTACAGATGGAGAAAGGAACAGAGAAAAATAGACAAATTCAAGACAAAACTACTTTGCTCTCTCCCATATGGACTAGCTGGTGTAACAGCTACAGTTAGAGTAGGCTTAACTCAACAGCTGCCTCCATGAATGCTTGATTTTCACTAGGGGGCTTAGTAATAACATTGCCACTAAGTACTTTAATCAATAAGAGACCAAAATGTTTTTTGATCAGATTACTGAATTACTTGTTTGGTTCCATAAGGTTAGTAAATTAAAATAAATCAAGAGTATTTTCTTGACAGGTTCAGAAAAATAACCTCAATAAAATTTTATGTTGTAAAACAGGGAAATGAAAGAGCCATAACAAATACTCAGTTGGTTGACTTAGCAAGGTGAAAATAAGTGGTATTTATCAAGACAAAACTAGGAAAAATGCCTAAATAAGACACTAGAGAAAAAAAACAAACAATTTTACAGATAATTCAAATGGAAAAGCCCACTCTACCATACCAGATTTCAAGAAAACAAATAACATAAAGATGAAATTTGTGAGAATATGGAGAATAATACATATGGTAGAATGTACATGCCAATATCATAAATAAAAATGTGTATTTAAAAAATGTGCAATTTGGTGTCAAGAGTAAAACAAATTTCTCCAATCCTCAAATTTAAATGTGAACATGAGGGGAAAAAAGGTATCATTACTTGCCGAAAACATTCTGAGGAAAGATGTGGGTTTTAATTAACATACAAAGAGAGAGAATGAAATATGCATTAGGTGTATGAATAATTCTGGCAAGTTACAATCTAGGAAGCATGTCTATCAAGTTAGAGTATTGGACCATATTGTAAGTAGTTGTTAAGGCATACTTTGAAGGCTTTATACATAGCACAGGTGCAGAGTCATGTGGACCTTGTAGGACAGCATTACCTGAAAACCTCTGAGTACATTCTGGCTCATCAAAAGGTCCTCTCATAGATACTGGGAGGCTAAAGGTAGAGAAAACATTTCTAGGCAATGATAATCTATCCCCACAGAATAATTTGTAAGGACTAATTTTTCTTATAGAATTCTTAATGATTTTGGTGACTAGACTATATTTACATTCAGAAAATGGCCATTTGGAGAGGTCCTAATAAAAGATTTCAAAACTTAAAAAGCTTTTCCTCTTTGCAGTTTGATTACTTTTAAGTAGTATGTAACAAATCAATAATGGATTTTAGCTATAGCAGATGAATGAATAATGGGTTACAGGTGACTGTGGCTGTTGGAATCAACAAATCCTGTAGGATAATTGAATGACTGCAACTCTGTGTTGTTAATTACACTGCTTGTTTCTCCCTGCCAGCTCCTGAGGAAAGAGACTCGTGGGCTCTGGGACCTTTGAGTATAGAAAGGTTTTAAATACAGACTAGTGTCCTCTCATTACTATACAATCTCCACTGGCATTAGTTTCTGTGTTTCTTTCATAGCTTATCTTCTCTATTAGTAGGTAAAAATCAGAAAGCACACCTTCACAAAGTTTATTGCTATCTATGTAAATAAAAGGTCTAATGATCTAAACAGGGATATGAAATGAGAACAGAAGCAGAAACGGTAGAACTCGTACACCAAGGCTAAGCTAGTCCTGTTATTTATGTATGCAAATGATACATCAGTAACAGAAGACTTTAAACCTGCTGATCATCTCAAAGATAGATTAAGAGATATACAGTATATCGTGGGCACAGGGAAGGGAAAAGAATATGTCCAGTAGACTGACCCTCGCAATGATCAGGAAACCCAAAGGCTTAGTTTTTGCACCCAGGGGCAAGCGCAGTGGCAGAGAAGCATGCTTGCATTCTTAAATATATGAATATATATATATATCCACAAGGAAAAAGGAAATAAAAATCAAATAAATTATATTTAAAAAACAAACAAACAAAAAAACCAAAGAAACAGAAAAAAAAGGCTGGCTTGTCAGGGGATGGGGTCGAGAAGGCCCCGGCGTGTGTACTTACATAGAGGTCAGCACCGTAAAATCCGTCCTGGTAAACCACACTGCAGAAAATCCACACAAAAACAAAAACAAAAAACAAAAGAACAGAAACACATTCCGGTTATTGAGGACGGCAGCATGCACATGCGCTCTACACAGGCAGGTGATGTATGAATACGGAACCTGGGCGTGGGGCCATGGCAAGTCAGTGAGCAAATGTGTGAGTGCACACGTGTGTTACAGAGCTCCAGGACATGCTAGAAGAGCTAAGGGTGTGCAAAACAGGACCAACCACCTGGCTGTCTAGAAACTTTAGAAAGACTAAAATAATCAACAGCACTCCTAGGAGGGCCTACAGTTATCCAAAACCTACTGGTTTGTTAAGATCAACATTTTTATCTGGAGTATTTTTAAAGTTAAGTTTTCCCTAGGAGGAAGTTTTTCTTTAAAGAGCTTACAAAGGGTAGAGGTGGAGAGGGGTTTAACATGAAAAAAAAAAAAAAAAAAAAGAATCTCCCCCATCCCCTGCTTCCCGCACCCAAAAGAAATTCTTTTAGGGCAGGGTCTATATGTAAAGAGTGTTTCAAAATTATGTTTAGTATTTTGTTTTCCATCTCATGGTGAAGTGCAATATTTTTCTGATATCCATACATCACCTGCTTTTTACCCTGCACATTAGACATGCGATAAGATTTGGCTGATCACACAAGCATGCAAAGTATTATTATTCAGCATTTTTAAGAACCAATGCAACACCTGGGGAAAACAAGTCAATCAATTCTGACCAAAGTAAACAGAGAAATGTAATTAAACAAAACAAAACAAAAAACCAAAACAACCAAAAATACCCACAATGCATTGCTTTCACAAGCAGAGATAATGAGCTAAAGGTTAAGGTGATTGGTCCAAGGTCCAAGAATTGAAAGGTGCAGTGGGGATCCCAGATAGTAACAATATAATCCAGAGTGGGAAGGAGTATTGGAAGATTTTAAGGGTTCTTTTTTGAAATGAGAGTATTTGTGGAATTCTCACAACTAATAGCTGAAGTTCTGGGCATGATCAAGGATCATCCCATATTATTTAAAAGACTAAAACTGAGAAGGCAGCTATTTAGAAATACAAGTGTTTACTTCCTGCTTAGACTATGAATTTGTATCAGTCAATACCTTGTCTTTTCTTCTCCTTAAATCCAGAGCAACACTATACACTGTTAGTTTTAAAATATAGATTTCCAACCTTTTAAGCTATTTTTGTATATACAGATTTCCCCCAAAGTCTTATTTTTGAGACCAAAAGAATGAAACAATAGTACAGCTAAAGCATAAAAACTTTCTTCTTCATGTTTATTAGGTAAAGATTTGGCTGTATTCTATTAGCTGATGTGTTTATTTTTTATTCAATGAAACAAGGTAAAAGTTTCACCACTACTTTTTCTCTTATATTCAAAAACAACTACCAAGTAAGGTCACAAATCATGTATTTAACTTGAATACAACATAACTTGTTTCAGGTAGCTAAAGTGTCTCACTTTTATTTTCAATGTCCTTTGCTATATTTATAGGTTAGTACTGTCACACCTTGCAGTATCTCAAATATGCTATGCCTTTGTACTATATAACAGACAAATCAAACTTGTCTTTGATGTTTGTTAGCTAAGTCTTATCAGTTACAGTCTGATATTAGAAAGTAATCTGCCTTCCACTGTGCTAATAAAAAAGACATGTATAATGAGAAGGCTGATAAAATGGAAGGCACTGAGACCAGGTGGTAACAAATTAATCCTTGGCAGTTTCAGTAAGAGGAAATATACAGAGATTAAAAAAAATTTTTTCTATAGAGAGGTGCTCGCATCAAGAATGAATTCAATTTTGCCTTGAGTCAAGTCACTTAATGGGAATATTCACCTAAATGCTAGAAGAATTCCAATATTCCCTATATTAAATGCTGTAAGGAGACTAGAATACAATAATGATGGGGTTAGTTTACTAGGCTGAAAGCAATTTTAGGCCATTCCCCATAAAATACTGGACTTATTCCTTGCCATCTTCCATGTAAACAGGTGGTTTAGTTTTAAAAAAGAAAATATGAGAAATTAGTGTTCAATGTAAAGCAAAGAAACTGATGTGATTAAATACCATATCTGACATTGGTAGAGAATTGACTCAAATTTGGCCAATATACTAAAATGACCTATGCCAAACAGGAATGAATTCAACCACTTTATGAAGTAACTAATGAAGGTTCAAAATAAGGAGAGTAACATGTGTCTCTGAGCAGTCTCTCTGCAAATGTGACAGTAAACACTCTTAGATTGAAATGGAAGATGCTTTCTGAGCAGTTTTTCTAACATGTAAAACTTTCAGAAGGTTCATTTTTGTATCATACTCAAATATTTCTTGGTAAAACACTGTGCCTTTGTTCACTTCTTTAAAGAGATGTCAGAGGTTGAAGGTCAAAGGTCAAGTTGAGAGAAAAAAGATAAAATTAAAAAGTAAGTCATGGTAGAAGATGGAGATGATGGAATGCATGGAATTTAAATATCTATATATTGCAAATGAAAGTTATTTTCTGAAGCAGTTCCCTTCCAGGGTCTATTTGAGTCTGCCCACTTCAGCATGCATACTTGCCTTGTCTAAAAAAATGCTTTTATTCTGTGGCATGGAGGACTCCTAATCGTATGTCCGTTTGGTCTATGAATGAATGAATGGTAAATTAGTACACCTCTGGGTGAAGCCAATTTTGTTGTCACAAAAGGACTTATGAAAGAGGCTGTTTCCCTTTATAATTTGACTAAGTAGCAGCTAATAAGCTTTTCTGCCACTATTTATATTGCTCCAAAAGAATATAGGAAAACAAAACGAAATCTGTCATAGGCAGAGAAAAGATGAAGAAGAGAAATGTCACATCTTTGAAGAGAAAAAGACCTTGGTACAACTAACTTATAAAAGTCTACTTTTTATAAAAATACACATTTTAGAGTGACCTGGAGAAACAACTAAAAACAAATCTGCCATCTTCCCTCCTTCTCCCCATTTGATAACAAAGGATTTATTTGTTGCTATGGAATCATTCCACTGCATGAGACATCCTCCACACAAAATCAAAAGGTGAAGGATGCTCAGCTGTATCAGCTGTTTACCAGACTCAGTCATCAACTGCAGCTTAATTCCTCCTACTTCTCCTTTACTCCCTTGATTCAATTGGACTTGGTTCATCTTTGAATTAACCTCTTTTAACCTGTTTCCTACAAAGAAAGCAAATCCATTGTGGGTAACTGGCTCTGCTGCTCACCACCCAGGCAGTGAATACATGGGAAGGCACATATGCCAGCCTCTGCCCCAGCACAGGGTGGTGGGAGGGGGAACACAGCAGATGCAGTCTGGTACTACAATCTCCAGCTCCTTTCTTGGTTCTCTGCAGTAGTGTTAATCCACATCCGTGCACTGCTGAGTGAACCATGCCAACACACTGCTAGTAAACACAGGACGGTCTGGCTACTGTCTTAAGCGCTCACCATGAACGTTTAAGGTAGCCAAACAAAGGTTTAAGTAATGAATTGACATTTGGTTACATTCTGATGATGGTGTATTTTAGTTCTTTCTTGCCATCTATTCCATGAATTTGAAAATATTCATTATTCATCTTCGTGGCACAGCAATGTCCCAGAAGTTATAAAAGACCATGGCATTCTGTTTTAGTCCAGTTGCTTACTGTAGAAACACAGTGATTTTGGCATCTAACACTTACCCTGGATAGGCGGGGATGGCTGTTGGAGGTACCGCTCGGACTGCACCATATACTGTCCGCCCTCTGCCCCTCAGATGGGCTCCTCTGAAAGCGGCTGCCGTGGTGGCTGCAGTTGGGTAAGGGAAGCCAGGAACTAAAGGGAGACCCAAAATATGACAGAAATTTCAATCTACATTTTACAGCAGGTATACACTCACAGCTTATGAAATAATTATGGAAAAGATGGAAATCTTTCCTAAATATACAGCATACATATTATCCAACACACTTCCTAATCTGGGCCTCAGAGTCATAAAGAGATACAACATGAGCAAGTGACCCATTTCATGCCTCATTCATCACAAATCTTCATTGAGTTTACTGTTTCCTTCCCAATTTTGCCATTTCAATGTAAGTTGATAAGAAATGAGTAAGAAGCTCTGAAACTACTGCCATGGTAAGATTTAAGGCTTTTAATTTCTGTGACAGTTCAACTCAAATAGATATAAGCTCTTTCACTAGCCAATTATTAATCTTGCTTCCAAACATTATTATATGAATATAATTATTCCTTAAAATAATGCTCTTCTTGTATTTTACAAGGTGTGCCAATTTCCAAGGCACATAATAGGGTTTAGACATTCCGTTCATTTGTTAATGCCATCCCTTTTCTAAAATATTTTAATCTGAAATCTAAGTTGAGAGGTAAAGCATTCCTTCCTAATTACTTGTGTCCTTTAAGAGGTGGACATTTTCTGAGAGCCTATTTCAAAGGGTGCCTTGTTTTAGAAAGCCCTCAGAGACATTGATTCCACATCCACTGGCTTGTTTAGGTATGCCTTCTTCTGTAGGAAAAAGGTTCAGGTCAAAGTGACTTTAGAGACAGTAAGAGAGCTGCAAAAAAATCAAGAAAATGGATGGTGGTGCTTTGATGGGCTACGCCACTGGGAGGAAATAAGTAATACACTTTTCATAGGCTCATGTCTTTTAATTTCCTTATTAGCAAGTACAAGAATATTCTTCATACTCTTTTTTCCTTCTTTTTGTGCTAGTTCTTGGGCTTGAACTCAGTACCACTGGAGTCAGGCCACACTTTTCCTTTTCCAACTATTTTTGTTTTGTGCCAATCTTAATATTTGGTTAGGAAGATCCCAGAGGAGTATTTATCACTCCTCTCAAGAGTATATCTTAGCCAGGCGCCGGTGGCTCACGCCTGTAATCCTAGCTATTCAGGAGGCTGAGATCTGAGGATCTTGGTTCAAAGCCAGCCCGGGCAGGAAAGACTGTGAGACTCCTACCTCCAATAAACCACTAGAAAACCGGAAGTGGCACTGTAGCTCAAGTGGTAGAGCGCTCGCCTTGAGCTGAAGAGCTGAGGGACTGAATCCAGGCCCAGAGTTCAAGCCCCATGACCGACAAAAAAAAAAAAAAAAGATAAGAAAAAGAATATATCTGTAGAGTGGGTGGCCCATGGCTCACACACTGGTAATCTTTGTAATTCTAGCTACTCAGGAGGTTGAGATCTGTGGATCAAGGTTTGAACTTATCCCAGGCAGGAAAGTCTGTGAGATCTTATCTCCAACTAACTATCAAAAGCTGGAAATGGAGTTATGGTTCAAGAGGTAGAGCATTAGCCTTGAGCAAGTTCAAGCCCCAGGAACATGAACAGGAATACATAAAACACACACACACACACACACACACACACACACACACACACACACACACACACAGTATATCCTTGTCAGTTATATATTATTCTAGGAACAGAAAAAACCCCAGCCAATCTTAGCATAACACTGTTTTTAGACACAAGCGTTAAAGCCCATGCCAGGTCAACATAGGCTACTTACTGATTAAAGGAATGTAGGTGTTGATACCCCCTCTTCCTGATAGGGGCACAGCCGCTTCATTGCCAAGAGACACATCTGCTTGAAAGCTGGATGCTGGGGACATTAAAAAAGATTTAAAAATTCAGAAAGATGATCAAGGAATAGCCAAATGAAAATCCACAGATGCTGTTATAGTTAAACAGCACAAATGGAAAATGTAAATACTACCTGCATATAACTCAGGGCCATATACAGCTCCAACTACTGGACTTAATTTCCAACCTAGAACAGAAAAGAAGGCAGTGAACTTGAAAGACTACAGAAGAAAAGTGATCAGTGCACATGAAGAAGGCTTCACACATCTGGGCTGTCAACTCCTTTAGAATGCCAGTTTGAGGTAAGACATGAGAGGGCAATCACCTAAGTATAGTTGGAGGGATAATGAGGTAGGCATGGGTACATGTGAAAAAAAAAAGGAAGAGAATGGGAAGGAAGGAGGAAGATGGAGAGTGAATGAGAAGAGGAAGCAACAGAAATAAACCCTAGGGTTTTGTGGAGGTTCTCTTATGGCCCTACCCAAATGACTACTCTGAGTTTTGAACAGAAAAGAAGGCAGAATGTGTCCTCTAGTAGGTACCACATGACACTTCAAGTTCTTACACATCATTTTACTATTGCTTACTACTGCTGTTGTTTCATAAAAGTATCCTTTGACTGAATTAAAATTTGATCTGGACCTTTGACTCCAGGTTCAATTATACTATGGCAAGTTTTCTGAGTAAAGTGAAAATCCCTTCCCATGGTACTTCACTGGGGTTCACTGTGTAAAAAAGGGAAGATATAATTCAAGGCATATCCTCAACTTCAGTGTGTGGTTCTTAAGTAATATGTGTGTGTGCATGTGCACATGCATACCAATACTGGGGCTTGAATTTAGGGCCTCTGCTTTTTCCTTTAAGGTTGGTGTTCTACCAGTTGAGCCTTATCGCTACCTCTGGATTTTTGCTGCTTAACTGGAGATCAGTTTCTTAGATTTGGCTGCCAAACCTGGATCCTCAGATCTCAGCCTCTTGAGTAGTTAAGATTATAGAGGTGAAATATTGGAAGTGGCGCTGTGGCTCAAGCGGTAGAGCACTTGCCTTGAGCTGAAGAGCTGAGGGATAGCGCCCAAGCCCAGAGTTCAAGCTCCACGACTGACCAAAAAAAAAAAGAGGTCTAGAGGTGAAATATTGTCGCCTGAGGTTTTTTGTTTTTTTAAATAATGGACTTATTTAAATTAAACAATTTAAATTAGGTAAAGGGCTGATGTCAAAAATTTGCTTCTAGACTTTGCTATTCTGAAAATAGGAGTGGAAAAAAGAAAAAGCTAACTCTATTAAAATTCCCAGATTTTATTTATTTATTTTTTTTATTTATTTTTTTTAATTTTTATTTTTTTGGGTCCGGTAGTGGGGCCTGAACTCTGGGCCTGGGCGTTGTCCCTCAGCTCTTCAGCTCAAGGCTAGCGCTCTACCACTTGAGCCACAGCGCCACTTCCGGCTTTTTTCTTTTTGCTTATGTGGTGCTGAGGAATCGAACCCAGGGCCTCGAGCATGCAAGGCAAGCGCTCTACCACTGAGCCACCTTCCCAGCCCTCCCAGATTTTATTTAACTAATTTTTTGGACAGGCTCTACTACTGCATAGGCTGGCCCAAACTTCGAATCT